CTGATTTGCAAGCGTCGATTTTTGTGATGTTCATCAGGGGAAAGAGCCTATGGAAAAACGGCAATACCGCGACTTTTCTGGGGAGTGATCTTTTACTTACATGTTCTGTCCGGTTTATCCCCCGATTCTGTGGATAACCCGTCTGCCGTTATGTGAGAGCCGCCACCGCTCGCCGCAGCCCCAGCGACCGAACGTAGTGAGCGAGTGGGCGAGGAAGCGGAATGTCTACCCCCCCTGAATTGAGTACTTACGCGCCGGGCTTCCTTCCGCTCATGACCTGATACGCCCTGTCAGACTTGTCTGCTACCAGAGACGCTTACGTGTCAGCACCAGTGATATAAGACGTAATGGTCAAAGATCGTGGCGTTGGCACTGTACTGTTCCTCAGCCATCTCATATAGCCGTTCGCACATCGTGGCGTTAACATCATCGGCATCCAGCTTTTCGAGCAACGGCAGGCACTGGCTTTTTATCAGACATTACCGGATATCAGACCTTCGTTTTATCTTTGCAGACAAGAAACCATTGTCTGGATAATCTTTCGTTATTTTCGTCGTAATCCACCAGACCGGCTTCATACAAAAAAGTCATACAGATACAACACTGGCGCACAGATATATTCAGTCCGCACGCCATATCAATAACACGAAACATGACTTCACCATATTTATCCTCCCGTAATTTCATCCAGAGGAGCAGCGATTTACAGTCATCATAAAATAATGCGGTACTGTCCCTGCGTTTCATGGAGTTGTCACACATAGATAACCTCCTGCGTATGTGGAAATAACATACACACTGCAACAAATATTCCATAAATATTTATATATTAAATTGTATTACCATCACCCCGACATAATTTCTTTTTTGTACACCTGCAGACCTCCCTCATCCGGAGGATAATACCCCACACAGATATATTATCATGATATAAATCCTGTTATGGTGATAATTATATTATAACCACATCCGCCAGACTGTATTTTTCAGATTCAGAATTGATTTTCACCGGAAAAAACTTTTCCGCTTTTCCCCCCTCTGTGGCGATCAGACTGAATTACCGGGTGGGGTCATGGTACACCTGCCAGCATGTTCCATGCTTCTTTCAGATGCAGCCTGACATCACCCCGTTTTGACCTCCCGAAAAAACACTTTGCTACTTATATCCCCCGGACACTGTTGTTATTCCTTCTACCACGACTGGCACGCCAACCCATCACGTTACGCAAGTAAGGCTTACTCACCCTCTTTACTCAGTCCTAACCAGCATACCCGAAGTCGATGTCAGTACCGCCATACTTATGTGAGTACAATGTCGAGTGTGATCGAACCCTTAGTGACTCCCTTTGGCATCAATTCTGGTGTAACCCGCATTGTCATAACAGGGTCTTTACCAACGTCCAGTAGGAAAATATTCTGGTTCGTCTGAGTCCCCCCACTGATAGTTATGGCACTGTCCGGAAGGTTGTTTAACCGATATGTTACACGCAGGCTTCCCGTTCCAGTGGCACGCATGAGTTCTACTTGTCGTTTGAGTGATGTGTCCATGGTGATTGAGTCTGGATATGTTATTGTCACTGCAGGTGTCGTGGTATACTGCCCACTAAGATGGGCCCAATCACACTCTTCAGGATAGCCATTTGCTATTGCATATGGTCCCCCCTTGCGTCCGATTTTTAGACCGTTGGGAGGGTTGTAGATCCCGACAGCTGCAGTATATGCTGGTGCAAAGTTGCTTATTAGCTTGCCCTGAAAGTGAAATTGGTGAAGACCTTCTGATAGAGACACAGGCATATATAAGGTACGTTGGGAAATCCCATATTTATCAGTAGCTCCTGTTTGCCAACCTGGGACTATTTGTCCGTTTATTGTACCCTCGAACCTCCAGTCCTGGTCGCGCCAGTGATACATGTCAGTATCCACACACCACTGAAGCCCCTGCCCGCCCCCGCCCGCCAGTTGCGACGGTCCGAGATATAGATAGCCATTATATACCCCCCCTAGTGGTACGATGATATCTATTACGCTGTCGAATGCGAATGTGCGAATCCCGTAGCTTAGCGTGGCGGTTCCCGCTAATAGTTCCGCTGGCAGAGTTAACAAAAGGCATGCGATTGTACATTGTTTCAGGTTTCGTAATTGCATATTGAAATCTCAGTTATAGTCCTGTGTGTTATCCGTTAGCGCGGGTTCGTAGTAGAGCACTCGTGCTTATCTGACAGCCTGAAAAATAGTACACTCTCCGGATATCAGGCTGTCACACCTGGTCACTGATTGACGGGGTGTTTCTCAATTGCCTATGGCGACCTACAGGTTCCTCAGGGATAAACAACACCAAACGTCAGCGTGGTACTTATCGGTCCCCCTACAGTCGACGCCAGGATTTGGGTCACTGGTGTCAACGAGCAACTGTTCTTCACCGTATCTGAGGCTATTCCCGTGCAGAATGGCGTCGGCGTGTCTCCTGAATTTATAGCTATCGGGGCCATACTGCCATCCGCCAGTGTCAGCCACAGATTGCCACTGGACTCCGTCGGGTTATCCACTCTGTACAGACCAACTTTATTACCGTATGCCTGATGCATCCCTGCAGGACGCAGGGTGAGTGCTGTATTCACCACAGCGTTATTTTCACAGGTCACCACGGCCTGAAAGGACGGGTGTGTCTGCCTCTGCCCCTTTAGCAAAACCGCCTGAAAGGTATACGTATTACCACTTAATATGGATGCGCCCTCAAACCCCACCTTACAGGTGTTCGGCTGGTTTATGATGGTTATCGGGATGGTGAAGGTTGTACTACCAGCAGCGATCACATCACATACTGGCAAAAGACTGCAGGCCAGCATCAGTACACCCAGTATTTCCCTTTTTCCTTTCATCCTTTATCTCCTTTCAGGATGTACGTCTCCACTCCCCCCCAGTCGTTGATGGCATCAATGCTCACACTTTTCGCACCCAATGATATTCCTTTCACCATCTGCTCACTGAACGGAGCCAATACAGACACCGCCATCTCTTCCTCCTGACTCAGATGAAGCGGCTGACCATTCACTTTCACTTTCGTGATTGCGAAATAATACGGTGTCGGATTCTTCAGGTAGCTGCTCCCGCCTTTCTGAACCACCTCAACCTTTTTCTCCGCCCCCTTACGCCCCTGAACCAGTACCTTCGGACGATAAATCAGCTTCACCTGAGTTGCCAGCGCAATAGAAATCACCGGCTCATCCGTTTTCTCCGGCTTCGGTGGAATTTCCTGCACACTTAACCAGAACAGGGATTCACGGTCTGCCGGTAAAGCAACCCCGCTATCCGTCTTCATAATACGGACTATCTGCTTCTGCTTCGGTGCCAGCTTAAAGAATGGCGGAGTGGGCACCATATATACACCACTGGTCTGACTCTGATTATCTATCCATACCTGCCCCCCGTAAGTCTGGTCAGAGGTATTGGTCACATCAACAGAGATATTCTTTCTGCCCTCTTCATAGATAAAGCGGGTTCCACTCAGAGTGAAAGCAGCCATGGCCTGACTGCACAGCATCAGGGAAAGTAGTGACACCATCCCCAGTTTCATCATTTTATTCACAGCGAACCTCCTGCACTCTGGTTGCTTCTGGTTTGATTCCGGTCATAGAGAAACGACAGGTGCCACCATCCCCCAGGTCCACCCTGATTTCTTTCGGTTCTGCCAGCATCCCCATGGACAGCACACCATTACGACTGATAATGCCCGCATTCAGCCCTTCTCCTGTCCGGGCATTCCCCCCAGTCAGTAACTGACCATTACTGTCCTTAATCTGAAGAACGTAACGTTTCACATAATTTGCCCCGAACTGGCGGTAAACCACGGCGTTCCCTGTCGGTACCACAAGCTGAGATGTGACCATCAGGTCCAGATCATCCGGTACATTTTCCATGTTGACGTCAATATGGTTCTGGCTGTACTCCGACAACCCTACTGAGGTATACCCGCGACTGTTAGTTGGAGCAGAACCATTAATCCGTACCCCTTCAACATCTGGAATACGCACCACAGCCATGGTGTTGCTTTGGTCACGGGTAAAGAACAATCCACTTTCCGCAGTGACAACCACACTGCCGCTGATACTACCGCTGACACTGGTGTTGTGGCGGCTTTGAGAGACGTTCAAACTGGTGTTAGTGGCATCAAATGCATAGGAAACCCCAGCTCCGACATCATCACTTCCCCTGCTGCTCAATCCTGCGCTGACGTTGTAACTCAGACGCTCTGTCGGGCTACCTGAAGTACTGGCGCGGAAAGATGTTCCTGACACACTGCTGTAGGCTGCTGACGAGTTTACGTACTGACGCTTGTCTCCTATGCTGAACGGAATGCTGGTAATCAAAGCAATACTGTAATCCGGCTTATCCATGTACGGATACCGACTGTAGTTTCCACTCACACTCATAGAAACACTGTCAAACAATGAAAACCCTGTACTGAGAGTTCCCCCTGTGGCATAGCCCGTTGTGTTCCAGTAGTTCTCCCACCATCCAAACAGACTTAAACTAACATTGTCCGTTAAACGCTGTGACAGTGTGGCTTCATAACGGGATTTCTGGTTATAGCGAGCATAACGGTCCGCCGGATCGAAACCAGAAAACTCAACATATCCCTTGCTCTGATAACGATAAGTCGTAAGCTGCAAATCCGTGTCAGATGCAAAGGACTTGGCGTATTTTGCACTGACGCTGTAACCATGCTTTTTCACATTGTTGTCATATTCCGCATCCGACACCGTACCAGCCAGAGAAAACGCCCCCAGTTCCCCCATCATCTGCGTCAAACTGAGTCCCCCTGCCTTATATCTGTCATGTAGTATGGCAGCACCACCAAGAGTGGTGGAACCCAGACCATAGGCCAGACTCCCCGACCAGAACATGCCCTTATCCGAATCAGAAAACGGCTTTTTCATGTCTCCCCCGGAAGAACGTCTCCCCGCTACCATGTCATACTGCAGTTCCCCCGGACGCAACAGTGTAGGGAGGGTCGTCACCGGATAACGGGTGACCGTTTTACGCCCACTGGCATCCTCCACCGTTACTTCAAGATCACCGTTCCCCACAGGATGAATATCATCCAGAGCATATGGTCCCGGTGGTACAACACGGGAATAGACGGTGTAACCATTCTGGGTAATAGTGATACGGGAAGAAGAGGTCGCTACCCCGCTGATAACCGGCGCATATCCGCGGAAATCCCAGGCCGACATGTTTGAGTTGGAACGCAACGCCACCCCGTAAAAGCCAAAATCCTGAAAAAGGTCACTACGGGTAGTGCTCTTCCCGACAATCAGATCACTTTTCAGTCCCCCTAGCGCCGTGGAAAGTGTCGCATCCCGAACCGCAAATTCATTTTTGCCATCACTTAAACGGGATGCGTTCATATTACTGCTTAATACCCAGCGTCCGATATTTACCAGCGCGGAAACACTACCGTAAGCTGTTGTCTCCTGTCCGGAGTTACGGGCTGCGTTCGCAGAATAATTAAGACGTAAAGCATTCACCCCATAATCCCATTGACTGGGGTCGGTTTTACTGAGTAAATAAGACTGCGGGATACTGAACACCAGTCCCTGACTACCATAGTTAAAATCAACCCGTGTATACGGGTTCTTCCCGAGAGCATAACACCCCTGCCTCTCGTCAAATTCTGCCGCGTAACCGTCCAGTCGCAATGGCACACCGGCACTTTTCAACCATGCTGGTGACAGGCAGAGCACCCCACTTTTTTCTTCTTCTGGTGAAATAATAAGCTGAGCTTTACCCAGGTTATCATTATTCACCACCACATCAACCTCATACTGACCAGAAGGAAGAGTCACCCCTTTTTTCAGCACAGACGGCACAACTCTGGTTCCCTGCAGAAAGTCCATATTTAAATCAGCATCACCACTGCCAACAACATCAGAACTGGCATAGGATAAAACCGAAAACATAAACAAACTTAACGCAGATAATTTAAATATCTGTTGGCTGCTCATGAAATAACACCTTGTTTTTTTTAGTTAATCACCAATAAAAATAAGCCCCCAACAGAAACAAAGGGAAACCAAGTAAAGCTAAAAAAAGAAAATTTTTTGACAGCATTCCGGGTATTACCCCGGAATACTTAATTTTGGTATAAATAATATTATTTATACCAGTAGTTAACGCGGGCGGTTGCCATCATGTCACCAACAATACTTCCACCTTTGAGGTTCATGGTATATTTCAGGCCATCACCTTTAACCACTGACGGTTCAAACTCATACTGAAATCTTTCAGTAGTAGCCATTTTATTGACGTTCGTTTTAGAGTTGGTTGCTTTAATTTGCACGTAGGAGTCACTTGCCGCACCACTGGAAGCTTGCAAACCGTTAGCATTAATCTGGGAACCAACACCTTCCCATTGCATAACAAAATCAGTGTTACCTGCATTACAGGATGCAGCTGAATCTGTTGTCGGCTTAAATACCACTTCAACATCCGCCCCTAAAGTGTTCGGGTTGGTCTGTCCCAGTGCAACTGTATTTTTACCACTTACCCCTCCAACAGACGGGTCCAGTGCACAGGTTGTGGTGGAAACCGTACCGGAGAAATTCAGGTCCAGTGTACCCGCATTAGCATTCGGAGCAGCATTAGCCGCACCACCAACAATCGCAGCCAGAGCCACAACAGAAGAAATGAGAGTTTTTTTCATTTTTTATCCTTGCTTGAATAAGACAAACATAAACGACAGTACACAAAATATTGGTGCACCTCTATGCTTCCTTTTATTTAGTCAAGGCAGCATAAAACTATACCAATTATGTACTAGTTACGGTGCACATAAATTTATATTCGAATATACAATGCCATCAATAAAATTGATTTAGCATACAAACAAGATGATACACTCGCACCAATCTGGCCAGACATACACTCAGATATCCGGGATTGACACCATACCGCTCACAAACAATTTTTCTTGATTCTCCATAGACCACATGCCCACGAAGCGCATTTATCATCTTATTACTTCTGATTGATGATAACTCAATAAGCATATTGAATTGTTTTTCCCTACACCCCCAAAAAGGGAATGCATCATAATGCATATACCTCTCACCCAATAAATTAATAGCTCACAGATAACATACATCGTTAAAACACATCCTGTCGTTGGCGAGCCGACAGATGTTTACCTGACTTATAGTTTACACAAAGCGTTGCACTAAAAAAGGTCATAAAAACAAAAATCAACACAAAACGCGTAAAAGCAATTAGAACAAAATAACAAAAAAAAAACACTAAAAAGCAAAAGTAACCAAAAAAACACGACACCGCAGAATAAAAAATCAAAACACACCCAATAAACATTCTTTTTTATTTTTTACCCCCCCATGACGTTCTTTATATTTTTTATAAAAAATCTAAATACAGTTTAAAAAAAATAGAAACTTTACGTTCTGTATTAAGCTACTATTATCTGACCTCCCACAAACAATGACTCTGAGCGATTTGTATCTCATATTCGTAATGCAGAAATGTGTGGTTTTAAGACGTTTCTGTTGGCAGATGAATAATGCTAAGCTTTTACTGTTTGTTGCCACCGACGTAGCTGACTGTTCTCAAGCCAGTGTATGCAAAATGGCTTTCGAATCGCTCACAATTTGACCTCCTGCTGAATACACCAGGAATTAACTCTCTACTGTCTCCATTGCTGTTTTAAACCAATGGAAGACATCAATGTCCAAATCCAAAAGGGAAAATCCAGGAGCCAGGATACTGTAGAAATCTGTTTTAAGATCTCAACCAGAAACTGACTACCGCTGTTACCGGGAGTGGAAAGTTCCTCGTTTGTTAATTCTGACTCCAGAGAAATACGCCACGTGGCGGTCTTCGTGGACGTGATGGGGCATCCAACTATACCAACATTGAGCGTTGAGGCGTATGAAGGCCAAGATATGATGCCCCACATCCGCGACCTGACCTTCCCAGACGACGTGCCGAAACAACTCATCCCCAATAACCTCAGAAACGCGGTGAAAAAAGCCGATCTCCATGAACCCACTATCAATTCAGTGATATAAAACGGTAATGGGGATGCAGGCTATTTACTGGACTTTCAGTAGATGAAACGTATTCACCGAAGAAGAAAAAATCCACGCTATTAAGCTTTAAAAGCTTGCCCTTGTCGTACATAGCAGGGCTACTCTTCGAAAAGAAATCTACGTCACTGACTCCACTCATGGGAAGGAAAATCCATACGTCGTAAGCCCCGCCACTCAGATGAGCAAAAACAAGTAACCGTTGAGCTGCAATCTGCCGTTTACTACGTGCGGGACTCCGGGTTACCTTACAGTGCGCTGAGTTACAACTGTCACGAACGGTGCAATAGTGGCTCTTCCGCAACTTGGGTGGAAGAAAATGGATGAAACTTTCTGGTGAGCAAGGATCTAAGCTGTTTTAAGTTATGGGCAACGTAATGCACTCTCTTAAGACACTTCTACAGTTACCTTGCGGATGGCGATGCAGTCGACAAATTATTAGCTCTGGCGGTATAACCCTCCATCTCCACGGAAAACGCAAAACAGCACAATGTCCTGAATGCTTTAAGCGTAGCGACTCTGTTCATAGATGTCGTCGGCGTCGGATACAGCATCTACCCTGCTCAGGGCAGACGCTA